GGTATGTTTCGTTGGACGTGTTTTGTGTAAGGGAAAGGTACGGGCTAGAAGGCGTCGAGGGCTTGACGCGAAAGTATGTGGATATTGGTGCGGGCCCTGAGTGAGAGATGTGAAATGGCATGAGATTGGGCGAGCATTCTGGGAGGTCAAGAGTAACTGGTGATATTTCCATGCTGGTGGTGCTGGTTGGTTGATCAGAAGGCTCATCTGAGAATTCGAGCTCTATGTCAATGGTCACGTGATGCTGCTACATTCATTCAACGACTTTGATTATTCTGAATCACTTGGTACTTGTCATCTGTTAAACTTATCCCGCAACACCTACGACGTACAGTTGGCCTTGTCTGTACAATATTAATCATCAACATTGCAGCCCTGCTATTGCCTCTAAATGCTGTCATTTCACGTCTCCATCATGCTGTCACTCAAAGATGTGGTTCATGCACCACTCTGACCCTTCTGCTCAACATAAATTTACACACTTTAAATTTCAATACTGTTTTTGTGGGGACTATCTTGAGTGACCAACTTAGCTAGGGACATCAGCCTGAAACTCATGGAAAAGTATGTGAAGAATAATATACAGGTTCTTCCGAAGATACCCCTGTGCAAGCCCTTTCTCTGTGTCAACAAACAGTGGCTTGGTACCCATGGGATGGAAAATTTTGTTGATGTGACAGGAGGAGAAATAACCAGGGGAAAGTGGGTGAGTATAGGGATTCTCCTTCTTGCCCTCCTGAGTCCTCATCACTGTGTATGCCTGTAAAACAAGCAGACCATCAGCATGTTGACCACTACAAGCAAATCAAAATACAGCATTCACCCTCAAGCTTTAAGTGTGTTTTTTTCCTGATCTTACAGTTCAATAGGGATGATGATGATATCTACTTAGGCGAAAGAAGATCTGAATGACCTGAAGTTGGAAAATATACAGTGGCTCAAAAAACTGTCCACATGTTTTTGCATTTTTTACTATTTACAATATTGTGTGAGAATACATAAAGACCTCAGTGACATGCTGATACCATATTGTGGTGCTGCTTCAGGGCTTTGGATTGAGCACCACATCATGAGAATCAGAGGAGATATGGTGGAGATACAAGGCTTACAAAATCATGACTCATGTGGACAGTTTTTTGAGCACATATTAAAACTATATAAATCATCATTTATGACACCATAACAATCATGCCACCATTAAATAAATTATAAAGTGGTGTCATTATGTCATTTTAAAACCATATCTAACTATACAAACCAAAAATTTCCATATGTCATGGTTATATTCACCATGAAAGCCACCCCCCCTGCTCAAAGTGATAATATCCTCTCTCTTTCCTATTCTGGCCTCTCTGCTTGTCAAATTTCCTCTAGAACTGGAGTATCCAAGTCCACTGTGGCCAAGTTCATCAAAGAAAGTCACACAGACAAGGAAAACTTCTGTGAAGGGCATCCATCCAAGCTCACCTCTACTGATAGGAGGGCTATTATTCAACATATCACTACAGGAAAGGCCGATAATGCTGTCCAGGTCACCTATTACATCAATTCCACCATCACATTCCCTGTCTCTTCACACACTGTGAGAAACATTCTCAAGACAGCTCATCTCAGGTCAGTAACAAGAAAGAAAAGGCTTTCCTCTCTATCACACATAAACAGAGAGGACTAGCACCCTTCTTTTTTCACATATATACCTTGCCATCTGACCCAATCCTATTTATTGTGGTCTTATATGATCATATAACATGCTTCCAGTCCATGTAATCCAATTCTGATGGGCTAAGGCAAAGGTTAGTCATCTCTGTTTATGTGTGATAGAGAGGAAAGCCTTTTCTTTCTTGTTACTGACCTGAGATGAGCTGTCTTGAGAATGTTTCTCACAGTGTGTGAAGAGACAGGGAATGTGATGGTGGAATTGATGTAATAGGTGACCTGGACAGCATTATCGGCCTTTCCTGTAGTGATATGTTGAATAATAGCCCTCCTATCAGTAGAGGTGAGCTTGGATGGATGCCCTTCACAGAAGTTTTCCTTGTCTGTGTGACTTTCTTTGATGAACTTGGCCACAGTGGACTTGGATACTCCAGTTCTAGAGGAAATTTGACAAGCAGAGAGGCCAGAATAGGAAAGAGAGAGGATATTATCACTTTGAGCAGGGGGGGTGGCTTTCATGGTGAATATAACCATGACATATGGAAATTTTTGGTTTGTATAGTTAGATATGGTTTTAAAATGACATAATGACACCACTTTATAATTTATTTAATGGTGGCATGATTGTTATGGTGTCATAAATGATGATTTATATAGTTTTAATATGTGCTCAAAAAACTGTCCGCATGAGTCATGATTTTGTAAGCCTTATGTCTCCACCATATCTCCACCGATTCCCACGGTGTAGGGCTCAAATGAAAGCCCTGAAGCCATACTACAATGTGGTATAACCATGTCCTTGAGGCATTTGTTTGTTCTCATACAATATCATAGATAGTGAAAAATGTCAAAACATGTGGACAGTTTTTTGAGCCACTGTACTTATGAGGCTATGAGGCATCTTCAAGTGAGTTTCTTTCCACATGAAATTCCTTTCTTCTTTCCTGACACCAAGCTCCTGAGAGTTTGTTTCTAACTTGTTGGATTGTTTATTCTGTTTCATGTCCTCTGAGTGACCATTGAGCATTCTGCATAGGTTCCTACATAGAATAGCAGTGGTAGAAGTCACAACCTACACCTTGAACTATGATGCGATTTAGTACACAGATTTGGAGTCACTGTGGACCTTCTTATAACTACAAGGTCAATATGACAAGAGTACTCATTCTGAACAGCCCACAACACTAGTGAATAAATATTCAGAAGAAGTCAAACACCTGTAACAGCATGCCTTGCAGTGACTAGCACTTGACTAGAATGGTCAGTGCTAAGAGTATTTTTGTTCTAGACTTGGATAAGCAGGTTTCTGCGGCATTGCATTGTTTTGATATCATAAGTCTTATTGGACACTTGACAGCTGGCAGTGATGTGCCCGACAATTGATGCTCAGCTGTGGTCACAGTGAGCCTTGATCATTCCACAGTATATGTGTCCACAATCTCCCTCATCATGGTAGTTACTGTGGTGATTGACAGTGGCATTATTCAGTCACAATTATTATGCTGTGGGTGCTTCAAGACAATCCACAATTGGCATGTTCACAGCTCACTGTTTAAGGCATGTTGTGGCCCTCCCAGGGGACACTTAAATACCCTCATTGCATTGCTCCTTCGCATCACCATCCTCTTCTCCTCATTCTGATCATTACCCTGTCACCAGGCAAGGTTACTCAAAATTTGATCACTCCTTCATCTTCTTTGGAACTCCATTCCAGTGCTTCATCCAATGTGCCCAGCATAATGTCAATGAAACTTTACTCAGATATCCCTCTTCTTCCACACCCTGACTCAGAGTTGGCCAGCCCTCCAGCCCCCACTCACACCTTCACCTTCACACACTCTGGTACAGCAGAGGCATCCCAAATTCTTCTGGTGACATGCTCCTATGGACCCTTTTGTGTTTGGTGTGTTTTGGGCCAGGGTGGGTTTGCTACAGCAATGGGAGCTCAAGATGTAGCATCAAATTGCTTGTTGTGTCTCAAGGTCTTTCAAAAGGACCGTCTTAACTACAAGTCTACAAAAGATGTTCTTTTGTGTTAAGAATCATGCTCAAAGGAGAGAGAGACTGACTCAGAGGGGCTTGGCCTCAGCTTGTACGCTGTGCCCCTTACCTGAGTATGTGCCCTTCATTTCAGAGGAAGTCCGATGATGGTCCAATGAAGTCCGGAGGACTTCCGGAGGCTGGCTACTCTGGTGGAGAGTGCGGGAGGACTTCTGGAGGAGCGCAGGAAATGTCCGGAGGAATGCAGGAAATGCTCAGGAGAGTTCCTGCTGCAAGGTAATACTTCTACAGGAAAACAGGATGGAAGGATAGGAGGTCTGGAGGTATGGAGGACAGACATGGAGGTATGGAGGATGGAACATCCGAAGGACAGGATGTCCAGAGGTACAGAGGACAGGAGGTCTGGAGGTCTGGAAGGAATAGGGGCTACATTGGATGAAGTCCGATGTAGAAGCAAAATGGAGGTAGACTACCCTAAGGTAGAGTCAGAGGGACAGGAAGTGGACCTAAGTCTGGAAAGAGGGTAAGTGCCGGAAAGGCAAGACTCTAGCCTAGGGAAGCAATCCCTAGACTTGGGACAGAGACATAGGGGACAAATCCGGAGGTCCGGAATTCTGGCCTAGGGAGTCCATCCCTAGGCCTTATGAAAAAGGATGAGACTCAGATGGACTGAAGTCCGGAAGATGATTGGCAAGTAGAACAGGATCTAAGATGAGAGAGCAGGGACTAAGATGATATTCAGACTGAGGACTCTACTGTAGTTGTACAGGGGTTATATACTAGAGGCTATCTGAGAGGATCAGTAAGCAAAGGAGTAAGGCTATGTACGAGCATGTGGAAACACATTGGTAAGTGAGACGGAACATATGTAAATGAACTTGGAGATGAAACTAGTACAAGGATCAATCAGCAAGATGGAAACAGAGATAACCAAGAACCGGAAAGGCGGAGATGCCTAAATGGGGATAGGCGCAGGATCTCGGACAGAGGGTGGGAATAGGTCTGGAGATAGTACAGTTAATATCTGGAGGTCCAGAGATCTGGGGATCTGGAAGGCAGGACAGAAACAGGACTGAGATATGTGAGGTGGTGGATGTAGTCCGGAATCTGAGAGGAGATAAAGTCTGGATGTCTTGCTGGACGGAATGTGCATAGGGTGGACAGGATAGGGGATCCAGGAATGAGTTGGATATGGGGTCCAGAAACAGGTCCGGAAAGCGTGGGAATATGATGGGATCTATGTCTGGCATATGGGATATGACATTTTGAAGGAACTTGAAGTGTATAAGCATCTTTCATTGTTGATGCCATGGACTGAAACCAGCTTCCTCATAGGGCTTGAAATGTTGTTTCAGACAAAGGGTCAAATATGTCTTGTCATGGTATGTTTTTCTCCCCTTGCGAGCCATTTGAGTTGTTTGACTCCATTGAACATCTCTAGGACCTCATGGGAGGTGACCTACACACTTATATGAAGCATTACTCCTCATATTGCCACCAGCATGGTTGCAGGTGGACTGCTCAAATAGTAAGTAGTTGTCTTTCCTAGTTTGTGATGTCTTATACCTCCAACTTTGAAGGCCCTCGGTCTCAATTCTCTGCATGAGATAGGGATGATCCACCAGGATATCAAAGCCAAAAACATCCTGATTGATGTTCAAGAGAATGTTAGGATTGCTGACTTTGGCTTGTGTTATGTAAAGAAAGAGGAGGGGCCCTTGGAGCCACAGTGGAGGTATATGGCAAGTGCAGTGGGAACAACCTACTGCATGGCACCAGAGGTTTTGTGCAACAGAGGCAATCCCGATGAGGTATGGAGTATCCATGGATTGGTGGTTGCTAGGCTGTGTCATCTATGAGCTTATTTTGATGACACATGAGGCACATATCACATCTTCCTCTGCTCTTATCTTACTGATACCATCTTGTCAGGTGTTCTTTGATAAAGAGTTTGATATATGGTTCTATGTTTCTTGGTTCCCTGCCTTTTGATGTTTCCATGAAAATATCACTGATTTACTTTCAGGAGTAAGTTTTGTATTGTTCCTTTCTGACACTATCATTTATCTTTACTGCAGTAGTTGCTAGACCCTAACCTGTCATCACAGTTTGGGTTCCATGAGCTCACAGACCATAAATCATTCTTGCACCAGTGTGGCACATCAGAATTTGCTGATGCATACTCTTGTGGTAGGTTTACTCTGATTTGTCTGAGAACATTGCACTTAAAATGCATTGTAGCAGCCGCACGCCAAGAAATACCTGAATGGCTGCCAGACTTAAGAGATGGCCAAGATGCTGGCATAGCAGAGGTTTGGTTTCCCCTAACTTACTGGGAGAAACCATGCATTCCAAATGTGGATTGGGTCAGGCCGGCGTGTTTTACTTCAGACTCATGATATCCTCCAGTCAGTATTTGTTTCATTGTGATAGTCTCCATTTCAAGCACTTCATTTTTACTGTGTCTCTCTTCCTTGTTACAAACAATCTTCCAATGTACTTTATTCTAGATATCTCAGTGCCTTGGTTCCCTTTTTTGGTTTACATATATCTTTCACATTTTCCATTCACTGTTTGTCCCATATACCCAGGTGGTGTTGGAATCAGGGTGGGTATTTGGGTGTTTGACTGTATAATGCTAGCTGGTTTTGGTGGATTGAGTATGCCATGCTGTAAGTCCTAGAGGAAGATGCTCAAGTGCAAGGTCTGTCCATCCAGAACCTCACTGATATTCACCATATGTCCTCCAACATTCATGACACAAATTCAAGCTGATGTCTCAGTAGACTAGTGTCTGTGTGCATGCAGTGGTACAGTGGCTCAAAAAACTGTCCACATGTTTTGACATTTTTCACTATCTATGATATTGTGTGAGAATGAACAAATGGCTCAAGGACATGGTTATACCACATTGTAGTATGGCTTCAGGGCTTTCATTTGAGCCCTACACCGTGGGAATCGGTGGAGATATGGTGGAGACATAAGGCTTATAAAATGATGACTCATGTGGACAGTTTTTTGAGTGTATATTAAAACTATATAAATCATTATTTATGACACCACAAAAATCATGCCACTATTATATAAATTATGAAGTGGTGTCATTATGTTATTTTATGACTATATCTGACTATATAAACCAGAATATCTCATGTATCATAGTCATAATCACCATGAAAGCCATCTCCTCTGCTCAAAGAGATAATATCCTCTCTCTGTCTTATGCTGGCCTCTCTGCTCGCCAAATTTTCTCTAGAACTGGAGTATGCAAGTCCACTGTAGCCAAGTTTATCAAAGAAAGCCACCCAGACAGGGAAAACTCTTGTGGAGGACGTCCATCCAAGCTTACCTCTACTGACAAACGGGCTATTATCCAACATATCACTACAGGAAAGGCTGATAATGCTGTCCAAGCCACCCATTATATCAATTCCACTATCACTACCCCTGTCTCTTCACAAACTGTGAGGAATGTTCTCAAGGCAGCTCATCTCAAGGCAGTAACAAAGAAGAAAAAGCCTCTTCTCTCCATCAAACATAGGCAGAAAAGACTAGCCTTTGCCTTAGCTCATCAACACTGGACTGTAGAGGACTGGAAGCATGTTATATGTTATATGGTCAGATGAGACCAAAATCAATAGGATTGGGTCAGATGGGAAGGTATATGTATGGAAAAAGAAGGGAGATGGCCTAACAGACAGAGAGGTTAATGGGACTATCAAGTTTGGAGGAGGTTCTTTAATGGTATGGGGCTGTATGGGATGGAATGCTGTGGGAATGCTTGCTGAGGTTGAGGGGAAGATGAATGCTGAGCAGTATGTGGACATTTTAAATGACCACTTGCTGCCTAGCTTGGCAGAATCAGGGATTGATGAAGAAGATATCATTTTCCAACAGGATAATGATCCCAAGCACACATCCAGAAGAGCTAAGGAATGGTTTGAAGAACATAACATCAATGTTCTTGACTGGCCAGCACAGTCTCCTGATGTCAACGTTATTGAACATCTCTGGGGAACACTCAAGAAAAAGCTTCAAGCCTATGAAAACCCTCCTAAAGGAGTATGAGAGCTTTGGGAGAGAGTAGCAGTGGAATGGGGGAAGATCACAGCTGAGGATTGCCAGAAATTAATTGAGAGTATACCTAGAAGGATAGAGGCAGTAATTAAAGCCAAGGGAGGTCATACAAAATACTAGAATACCTGGTTATTATTGTAAAATACTTGAGTCAAAAAACTGTCTGCATGAGTCACCATTTTGTGAGCCTTGTATCTCCACCATATCTCCGCCGATTCCCACGGTGTAGGGCTCAAATGAAAGCCCTGAAGCCATACTACAATGTGGTATAACCATGTCCTTGAGCCATTTGTTCCTTCCCACACAATATCATAGATAGTGAAAAATGTCAAAACATGCGGACAGTTTTTTGAGCCACTGTATGTCAGAATTTAAGGTCCTTTTTTCAGTTGCAACTGATCTTCTTGTGACAACACTAATTAAACTTGTAAGCACAGAGAAAAATAAGGTCATAGATGCATAGGAACCAGCTGATAACCATGGACTGGAGCTGCTTTGGTCCTCTTTAAATTGAAGCCACTGGTGTGCTGACACCCCTATCAAACTTCTTATATTGAAGCTGCTGACATATCAATGATTGCCATGAGCCAAGTACATCACAATCATGATGATGCTCTTGCCTTCAGATAAGTAATCAAGCCATCCAATGACCCCCAGATTTCATGGCAGGATATATTTGACTGCTCACAATGGCAATCACCTCCCCATCTTTTTGCAGCCCCAACCTAAGCTGGAGTTGTATCACATTTGCATATGAATTGAGGTATGAGGACAAGTCATATCTCATCTCAAATATTCCTTGGCAGTGGCACAAATTTGCAAAGTCCAAATTGCAGACTACCCACATGATAGCTCTACTCCATCTCACCCAACATGATTCATGGCCTTGGCAAGCAATTATTGGTCAGGAACAGACTAGCTTGGTACTGGTATCACCAGGACTCCATCATGTGAGCAACACATGTGATCCTTTAGGACCTTGGGATGAATAGTATTGAAAAGCTTGAACAGTGTTCATCTGTGATGTCCTTGCACATGTCTGGTAAATTGATCACCAATGGAGTAACACATTTAGTGCAATGGCGAGATTGCCATCACAACTCCATGCAAGCCCTCCATCCTTGATGACCTTGTGGCCCAATATCTGGGCACTCAGTTCTTAGTACTCCCTCATCCTCCAAAAACAGGTCAGTCGGTGCTCTAGTGCTATTTTGCCAACATCCTGGTTTCTGCGATCACCATCCAGCACATTTCTCCTTCTCCTACTCTATGAGTGTGATATGTTCTTCAACCTCATTCAAGAGCTTGTGCCAGGTTGCAGTGCTCATACATTCCCACTCTGGCACAATGAAATTCTTGACAGACTTTACAGGTGCCTGTGCCAATTGCAGTATGGTGAGGGAGGACTAGGATTCAGATACAGAGCAGCACATTGGCCTAGAATGAGATGACCTTGGATGGAAAAGCCAAGAACTGGCAGCCATTTCAGACAATATACTCGAGTCAAAATCTGAGCTAATGGTGTGGTGATGACTTGGATCTGGGACTGTTGGTTCTGGAATCTCAATGTTCACCCAATTCCAACTGAGTTTGAAATTGAAGGATAGCTTACTCAGCAACTACATTTGTTATTTCTCCACTTCTCCTTCAGCAAGCCAGTACTTATCACCTCATAAGTGTTTGAAGTTAATTTGATACTGCATACATTCTCCTGGTTGTAACTTCAACCTGCTTGTTTTCCTCCTTGACCACTAATTCTAGCACACGATCATATGCAAATGACATTCAACAACCTTGACAATTTCAAATCTAACCCACAAACCAGTCAAGGCCCTCATTTGGCTTTCACAGTGGAGGCCTGTTACATTTGTGGAATATGAAGTTGGTCTGGTCCACTTGCTGCAAGGCTTTGTTATGAAGTTAAGCAGATCAACAGGTGGCTGGGTCAGGTGCATCTCTACAGAGTTGAGGTCGGCAGCTTTCTTTTGTCAAGCTCGTAGTTTTGGGACAGATATTTTTAATTATATTTACCTGAAATTGAGATCTTGAGCTATTTGAACTTGAGCTCATGCCAGGTCCACAGACTGCAAACCTCATTGTTCAATGTTGTGGGTTGAGCATACCAATTACTCCACATTGCTCTGAATACGTATTAATAGACTGGGGTCTGTCCTAGTACTTGCCTGGTATCCAGCAGGGAATCACACAGTTGTATCTTGGAATGAGTCAAGTCACTGTGAGTCAACCAACTTTCAAGCACAGGTTGTATAGGATGCCTGGTAGAGCTTGTCATAACACAAGTTGAGCAGGTTTGGTCACCAATTCCAAAGGATACTCTTTCAGACTCACCGCCTGTCACAGCAAAGTTCTGTGGGTAGCATTGACATCAGACTCATTTTGTATGCTTGCCTAATAATATTCGAGTGCACATGATGTATATCGCACATTGGTGACTCCCTATTCAAAAATGTCTGGCCGGAAAGTTGGAACAAGCTAAAATTCATACACTCCATGGTGTAACACTACTTTGAAGTTCTTGATTTGAGTAAATGGAACACTTAAAATAGTGACGCACTGCAGAAAGTGCGAGAGAAGTCGTTTGAGGAAATGATACATGTGTCATTAATTGAGGCTTGCAGTGATGAGTACCTAGGGGAAACAACCGCAGTAGTGACCAACACAATTGAACATCTAGTAACAGTATATAATAGCCATAACATTTCAGACATGACTTTGAAATGAAAACAGAATTGTGATCTAGGATGATGCCAACATCAATAAAACCGCCATGACATCATCAACTTAAAATTTCTCGAGGACCACCATAGACGCGTCTCGATCACGTGCCAAGAAATCAACTGCGGGGTCACTGCCAGTGAGCTGGATCGGGACAGACCCAGAAACCTGAAACGTCC